GTCTCGCAGTCGATGCGGCACGCCGTGATGCTGTAGGTGTCGTAGAACTCCGAGTCGCCCGCCACGGCCTTGCAGTCGCCCCAGGGAGGGGGCAGGTAGATGAGCTGGAAGGGGAGAGAAGCCAGCAGTGAGGAAGAACCCCCTGCAGTTCAGGGACAGACCCTCATGGCAGTGGTCCCCAGGATGGGACCCTCCCCTCCATCCAGCGTGGGGACAGGGGCACAGCGAGGAGGCTCTGCTTCCACAGCGCAGGGTGGGAGGGGACACCCCACACCTGCCCACTTCCTACCCGCTGCTCCTGACAGGACACAAAGGTCTGGAAGCCGGGAGCCACCCCGAAGCCCAGCTGGTCGATCAGAGGGGGCTCGTCCTGGCTGTGGATCTGCACCTTGATCCCGGCTTCGAACGAGGTCTCATCTGTGGCAGAGAGAGGTGGGGTGAGCACAGCACTGGCCCTGCTCTGAGGGGCTGTGCTGAGCCTGCTGAGAGAGGGACCACAACTCCTGCCTCCCATGCTTCCCCTGGGCCAAGTCATTCATCCATGTGTCCATCCATCTGTCCATCTGTTTGCTGCACCATGTCCTTGCCCCCTCCACCCCGACCCCCCTGCTCCACACCCAGGAGTGTGGCAGGGAAAGTATTTGACTCTATTTATAAACAAGTGATGGCTGCGTGTCTAAACGATGGGGAGTTGCCATGGCAAAGAGCAAAGACAAGGAGGAAAGGGAAAGAAAAGAGCAGAAGTGATGAGAAATGGAAGGAGGGAAGAGAAGGGAGCCTCAGGGGTGTGGATCTGTGCTCTGGGGAGGTGGGAAGGGGCTGGGCAGCACCCCAGGAGCTGCTGTGGCTGAATGGGCCTGCTGGGGCACTGGGTTACCTGTTTCCCCCCACACTGGCAGGTACTCGTCCTGCTGGATGTCCAGCATGATTTCCAGGCCGTTTCCAGTGCCCCCCTTCATGGTGATGAGCCGAGGCTTCCCGTCCTGCCCCGCATTGAAGGTGTAGCACTTCCCATAGCGGGTGAAGACCTGCAGGAGAGGACACAGGGCTGAGGCTGAGGCCCCTCTGTGTGCAGCCTCAGAACGGAGCCAGGAGAGCGTCCCCAGCCCCAAAACTCAGCCATCCCAGCCTGGGCATGGTCCGACCGGGCTCCTGACCCACAGGATCTCTCACTGCTGGAACTGCCCATCCTGGCCCTGGTGGAGGAGGACATGTTCCCACAGGGATGGACTCAGAGGAGACACTGCAGATTTACAGCCCCAGAGAGCCCACGGCAGCTGTGGCTCCCCAGGGTGGTGGCACTCAGCCTGATGCCTGCACTGGCGCCTCCTCCAAGCCCTCCTCCATCCCTGCAGAGGACAGGGCTGGACGGGATCCTGGACCCCCCCATCCCTCCTCGGCCATTCCAGCTCTCGCCTCCGGCAGCCAGCATGGCCCCAAAACCACGGAGCTGCTGCCAGCCTGGGCAAGGGGCATGTGAGGGCAGTGGGCTCACACCACACGGTGCCCCACAAGCCCTGATGGCACCAGGACAGAGGTGCCAGGCACCTCCTCAGCAAGCACAGCCCTGGGGATACGCTCCATGTCCCACCAGAGCAGCTCCACCGCCGGTGCCATCCCCAGCTCTGGCAGATGGAGCTGAAATATCATCCTGCAAGGGCAGCATCACCTGCCGTGCCTGATCCAACACCGACCAGCTCCAGAGCTGCTCCCCGTGCCGGGCCACCCTGGGGCTACTCACCGGCGCAAAGTCCCCGGGGCCGCAGCGCTGGCCGCGGTAGCTGCAGCTCAGCAGCATGTCCTCCAGCTGGTGGCAAGTGCGGTTAAAAAACCCGTACAAATTTAGGGGCTCGTCCTCCTCCCAGGGGCCCGGCTGGGCCGGGGTGAAGCCCAGCTCCATGCCGGGCTCGTAGTCCACCAGAGGGGCCAGGTAGAGCAGGTCCTCGTGGCTGAGCTGCGAGAGCCGCACACGGTTGATGTTGCAGAAGGTGACGGCAGGGAAGGTCATCTCGGGGCTCTCCTCCTCGCTGAGCAGCGTGACGTGGTGGTACTCCAGGTAGTAGGCGATGCGGTCGGCCACCTGGTAGAGGAAGACGGAGAGGGAGAGGAGGAAGGCCAGCGCCCACAGCGCCTGCCGGGCGCCCAGGCTGCCCTCCACGAAGATGTGGCTCAGCCCGTGCAGGGTGCAGCTGCTGGCAAAGGCCACGAAGTCCGTGGTTGCCCCTGCGTCCTCCTCATCCTCTTCATCCTCCTCCTGCCCATACAGGAACTCGTCTGCTTCATCTTCTTCCTTCTCAGTGGCTGCAGCATCTTCTGGTGCTTCCTCCCTGGAGAAGGAGATGGTGCAGAATATCTGGAGAGGCATTGCCCAGCCTGGGGGTCCCAGCTGTGGTGTGGAGGTCCTGGCTCTGGTGTGGGGGTCCTGGCCCGTGCCCTGCCCCAGCCTGGGGGTCTTCAGTCAGATCCTCAGCAGAGAGGGGCTGGGGAGATCAGGGGAGGGGGAAGGGGCAAGTTCAGCGAGGAGAAACAGAGAAGGGAAAAGGAGTGAGGCGAGCGGGAGTGAGGGAGAGGAGCAGAGGGATGCTCGGGATGCTCGGGATGCTCGGGATGCTCGGGATGCTCGGAGCCAGGAGGGTATATCAGGAGCAGGAGGGGAGGAGGAGCGAGGGGCGGTTCCGCGGGCTCCGCGGGCTCCCCGGGCCCCTTGGGACCGGCCGGCTCCGGCTGCCGGGACGGAGCAGAGACATCACCGCCTCCAGAGGCGCCGTGGGAGCCCCCAGGGGCTGCCAGGCTGGGGGCACACCGTGTGGGCATGGTGGGCAGGTACCCAGTGCTGTGCCCCCACGCCGTGCCCTCCGTCCTGGCGTGGTCTGGCGCTGGCAGCCCCAGCGGCTGCTCCAGCCAGGCCCAGCCCTCCCTGCTGGGTCCCCGGCTGCCTCCAGAGCCGCCGTATGCCAGGCTCTCTGCGCTCATCCCCAGGCCAGCTGGAGCCAGAGGTTCTCCCAAAATGCCCGTGACGCTGTCCTGGTTCAGTGGTGCTCCAGGTGGGGGGAAGGATGCTGTGGCGTCCTCAGGCTCCCACGATGCTCCTCCTGCCCTGGCAGTGCCCATCCCTGCAGGCTCATCCCCCTGTGCCGCAGGGCACCGGCGTGTGCACGTGAGAATCCGGCAAATCCAACATTCCCAGTGCAGTGAGGTCTGTCCTCCTCTGAGCAGGGCTGGTCTTGGCAGGATTTGGGCGCTGTCCAGGCAACAATTCCTTCTGCAGAGCTCAGTCAGTGCTGGGCACGTCACCTCATGTTTTGGATTCCAGTGGGGCACAGGGAGCCCCCTCTTCCTTCAAGGAATGGCTCCAGGCCTTGTGCTGCTGAACCAGCCGGGCTCAGGGTCCCAGGGAGCAGCTCTGGTGCAGGAGGCTGGGATGGAGCTGTGGGAGCACGGGCGTCTCCTCTCTGCAGCAGCGCAGCCCCTTCTCGTGGTTTGCTGTTTTCCTGTACTCAGCACTTGATAAAAGCATCCAGAGACCACAGAGCAATCTCCAGCCCCATCCGGGCACCGGGGGAGAATCTAAATCCAGCAGCAGCACTTGGATGTGCAGGGGCTGGATGGGAGCTGTGGGCCGGTGCCTGGCTGGGAAAAGCTCACCCCAAGCCCTCAGTTCAGCTGCTCTGATTCCTTCCCTGTGCACCCTGCAGGGTCCCTGGTGCCTGAGCACATCCTGGCACACATGGACACCACAAACTGGGAGAACAAATCAGTCAGGAACTCAGTAAAAATCTGACCTGATACCAGCACAGTTATCTGAGATTGCTGGGCAGGTGATGCTGGTGGAACAGGCACTGAGGATCCCTGCCAGGGGCAGTGATCCATGATGTGACACTGGGGTGTCCCATCCTGGGGCTCCCCAAGCTCAGTATTCCCTTCAATAGGGCCCTTGTGTAAGAGGGACACTGGCAGATGCCACTTGGGGACCTGGGAGAAAGAATGGATGACCTTGGGGATGAGCGCCAGAGCCACAGGATGAAATTTCATCAGGCCAAGATCAAGGTTACACCTTTTGGGAGCATCCCAGAGAATGTGAGATGAAAACTCTGCCTAGAAAAGAGAGTCAGGAAGGTGAGCTGGGTGGCTGGGAGCCACCAGGACATGGGGGCCAGGTCACAGGTGCCCTGTGTCCGTGGTGGGGATGAGCTGCAGCCACAGGACAGGGCTGTGACAGCATCAGGGCTGCTCCTGGCAGGGGTTTGGAAGGGCTGGGCTGGTCCAGCCCTGTGGGAGCAGGGTGGGACCACAGTGGGCTGATCCCACACAGGCTGGCACGGAGGATGCTCGGGACAGGTAGGAGCTGTTTCTGGGGTTGGGCTGGGATTTCTGCTGCTCCCAGCTCTGGCACTGGGTTCCTGTGCCTTGGCTGTTGGGGCAGGAGGAGAAGGGAATCAGAATTAAGGAACTGCGGGTTGAGGGGGGTTGTTCAGCCCCACAGGGCTCGGACAGGTGAGCCGTGCTGCCCGAGGCCAGCAGGCAGCCCCAGGGGCGGATCCGCTCCCTCGGCGCGGGGAGCTTTAATGTGTCTTCTTGGGAGCGATTGCAGCAGGGAGAGAGAGAGAGAGAGAGAGAGAGAAAGATGCTGTAATGAAAACATTTCATCATCGACTGGGGCCATTAACCTGCTTCGCTCGGCTTAAACAGCTCGCGGGGTGCGCCGGGGCTGGATGGCAGCAGCAGGGCCCGGCTCCGGTTACCGCCACCTGTCCCAGTGCCGACACCCGAGCCGGGTGAAGGTGACCGGGGACAGCCGCAGCCTGGAGCACGGCGGCAGCAGCCAAGGGGAGCGCGTCCTGACCCCCAGATTGGGGACAAGGTGCGGCAGGGGGGTGCCGTCCTGGTTTGTGCGAGTTTTGGAGATGCTGGAGGAGTCCTTGGGCTCGTTCCAGCTCCTCCCTCGCCGGGAGTTATTTTTACCCTCTCTCAGGTAAAGCTTTGGCGGGGGTGAGGGACGGGGGATGCTATAATTAGCCGTGACATCAGCCCCCGTGGCGGGTGCTGGGGTGATGCCGCCACACCCGAGCCGGCGCTGGGGCCGGGGATGCTCCGTGCCCTGCTCGCCCCAGGGAGAGCTGTGGGATGCGAGGAGGAGGAGGAGATGGGTTTTTCCTGCCTCCAACACCGTGTTTGGCCGCTGTCCCGGGGCGGTTCGGCCCCGCTCGCTGCTCTGCGGCTCCTCAAGGCCCGGGAAAGGAGGTTTCCCGGAGCGGGGGAGCACGGAGGCGGCGGGGGGGAAGCGGGAGCGGGATTTGACGGCAGCAACAGCACATTTCACAGCCTGTCACGCTTTAATGGCAGAGGAGATCAAAGCCGGGATGCAGTTATTCATAGAGATAAACCAATCCCCGAGGAGGCGAGGAGAAAACAACATTGCACGCTCTGTTATCCCAGGTCTCCGAGCCCCGGGGAGGATGTCGCCGAAAGCGCCCCGGGAGCTGGAGCCGCTCGGTTTTGTGACGGGCACTGCCCGTCCCTGCCACCGACCGGCTGAGCCGGGGCTGAGCTGCCCACGTCATCCCTGGGGGTGCCCGCAGCTCGGAGCTGGCTGCCGGGAAGGGATGGGATGAGGGGTGGGATGAGGCAGCCAAAGCAGCACGTGGGGGTGGACATTTGGGCCAGACGGAGACCCCACGGCTGGGTTGTCCTGCTCCCACCACGCACCTGGATGTGCGAATCCAAAGGGAGAAAAATGAGGTTTTCCACGTGTCTTGGCCCAGGGATGTGCTCAGCAGCTCGCAGAGCTGCCAAGATGGTGGTGGAGGCACCGGCAGCGCTGCCACCGCCGCTCTGGGCGGGATGAGCTGCTCTGGGACAGCTCCAGGGCTGCACATCCCTCCCTGACCCTGGCGAGAGACAGAGCAGAGGCAGCCAAGCAAGGTGGGATTGCCCGGGCAGGCGGGATCTGTGCCGGGACTAATCCTGCACCCCTTATCAGATGCTGCCACCTTGCCTCGGCTCGCTCCGCCAGCCAAGCCGGGCGCAGCTTGTGTTATCCGGCCCTTTATCCCCCAGATTAGACGCTTCACAGTGGATTAGCATGTCACATTCTAATGCAGAAAAATTGATGATTAAAAAGGAGTTTTTCCTCTGTATTATTCCCCACCTCCGCCTCCTCTCCACCCCGTCCCTGCAGGCCCACCAGCCCCAGCCGCGGGCCCTGGTGATGCCAGAGCATCCCTGGATCAAACGGGATGGGAAAGGGGAAGCCGAAGGTGCCTTTTCCACGCCGCGTCCCAGCTGCTTCTGGTGGCGGGGCCCGGTACTCCAGGTGCCTGTGCCATTCCAGCCCCGTGTTCCCAGCTGCAGACTCAGCACCTGCAGCACAGGACTTTAATAAAAAGCACATTATGGTGAGTAATGTGCTAAGTGGACTTCATTATAGAGCCAGGGCCTCCCTGGATCCCGTTGTTCCATATGATTTCATATCAGATGAGCCTTATCTCCTCTCCAAATGCTTCCATTTAAACTCTATTAATCTTTCGAAGCTTTCCTGGGCAAGCTCTTCCCAGCCAGCCCTGCTGGGTGCCGGCGCTGCTGCCCTGAGCACTGAGGCCACCTGCAGCCACGCTGGCCCGGGGTTTAGGGGGGCTCAGCCAGGACCCCCCCGCAGCTCCGTGGGCAGTCCAGCGTGTCCCTGGAGCCTTGGCTGTGATCCGCCGTGACGGCTCCGCAGCCGCCGCATCCTCCTCCCCAAGATCTGTTTACGCTCCTATAACCGAACCTGTTTGTAGCGCTGAGAGCTTCCCGGTGGTTTCCCCGCTGGCAGTGTCCCTCTGTGCCGTGCAGGGGTCACCAGGACTGCGCCAGGACGCGGAGATGCTGCCGAGGTGTCGCTAATTCCCGGGATTATTCCCGACCCTGTTTCCCGCGTTTCCTGCCGATCGCGGATGTCCCGTAAGCAGGTTGTGATTTTTTCCGACATCCTTCACAATCGCTCAGCCAGTTCATGCAGGCAGATCCGAGCCGGCGGTTTTATTGGAGGGGGGAAAAGCCCACGGTGTTCCGGTCTGGTTTCCTTGCTGCGCTCGCTCGCTCTGGCTCCGCACGTATCACGCTTTTCAAATCTAATCTAATCCAAGCAGAGCAGTCACACAGCCCTGGCATGTGGTGCCTCTGGAAGGGTCTCCCTGTCCCTGCCAGGAGAGCAGAGGTTTAAAATCCCTGATAAATCACAGAGTGGGTGGGAACACCCTGCCCCAGCTCCGTCCTTAGGCTGAGAGCCTGGATGCAAACACACCAAACACTCCATACAGAAAAAAACCCTCCAAAAATAAATAATTGGTTATAATATCCAAGTGTCAGAGCTGTATAAATAAATAAGAGCCAGTGAGGAGCTCCTTGAACCCAGGCTGGAGCAGGAATTGCAGCGTTGCCTTGGGAGCCCCGGCCAAGCTCCACAGGCGATAAAACACAGGTGGCTCTGAACAGCCAGAGATATTAAACTGAGGCAAAAAGGCCATGAGACAGTTAATTTCCTGCTCTCCCTGTGGAGATCTGTGGCTCCAGAGGCTCAAGGGATCTGCCCCCTCTAGCGTGGCTTCTCCCCAGTTGATATCAGGGAGAGGGGGAAAATGGCACCAGGAGGTTCTGGGCAGGTCCTTTGGATCCCTCAGAGAGCACCTTGCTATTGCCCAGCCTGGGGCTGCGAAAAACACCAAAGGGAGGCTGAGAGGAACAGCTTGGAACCCCTCATCTGCTGCTGCTGTCCAGGGCTGTGCTTCCATCCCTGGATCCCTTGGGACACACGTGCCCTGTCCTCAGCTGTGAAATCCTCACCTCCATTGCGGCTGGATACCACTTGAAAGCCTCCTCATCTCCTCCAGCAGCCACAAATGCCATTACAGCTTATTAATAATCATTAATAATTCATTTGTTAATGAGGCTTTTTGTGCAAAGGCATTGCAAGAGGAACAGGATTGGCCAGAGGTGAAGTTGAGATGCTCTGAGCTCTTGGCACGACACCTCTGGGTGTGTGTGGTGCCTCCAGCTGTGTGTGACACCTCTGGGTGTGCAAAGTGCTTTGGGGTGTGACATCTCCACTTGTGCAAGGTGCTTTCTGTGAGTGTGACCCCTCTGGGTGTGTGCAGAGCTTTGGGGGCGTGTGATCCCTCTGGGTGTGCACGGTGCTGCTGTGCAGGGGGAGATGCTGGGGCTGGGCAGAGCCAGGGACCAAATGACACCAACTGAGCCTGACCCTGATCCCACAAGTCCTTCTCCTCTAATCCCACCGTTTTCCAGAGCTCTGAGGTTCAGGTGCTGGATGCGCCATTCACAGCTCTAATGAAGTGGCCGTGGGGTGCAGGCACGTGGTGGCCTCTCACTGAGTCCTCATCCCTCTTGTTCCTGATCCTCTTCTGCCCCATCTTGGCCAAGATCAGCGGTGGTGGGCTCAGTGGAGCTGGTCCCACAGCGCTGGGGCCGTGATATCGCTGTCCTGCTGCAGAGGGAGAGTGAAGAGCAGCTTCCCACGAGATTCCCATCCACTGTTTGTGCCAGTGTGGAGCGAGCAAAACCACAGCCCAGAGCTGCCCTGTTCTGCCTGAGCAGGTCTGGGAATGCTTGGGTGAAGCTGGGACAAGGAGGCAGCTGAGGAGCAACGCCTGAGTGTCTCTGCTCCCTGCCCGAGGGTGAAACAGCTCACGGCTGCTTTCCGGATGATTTGCTTTGAGCAAAATACAGTGATACGGGAAAATCTCCGGGCTGCCGAGCAGAGCTGGGGCACTCCCAACCCGCTGCGCTTCCCGGGAGAGCCGAGTCACCACCAGCAAACGGCGGCGGTCCCGTGCGTGGCGGCTCCTCTGCTCCGTCACCTCCGATTATCTCGCCCGTGTCCCGCTGGCTTTGCTCCATTCGTCTGGAAAACGGGGCAGCCTCGGGGGTCAAACCCTGCCGCTGCTCGGCCGCAGAGAGAGGCCCATGTGGGGAAGGGTTTGGGCGGAGTTTGCCGCTGATCCAGGTGAGGATGCTCGGCCGGGCCCCTGGGGACACCACCGGGATGCCCGAGGTGAATCAGTGCCCAGAAACAACAGATCCGTGCCAGCAGTTTCCAACGCTTATAAGTAATTTAGGAGCCTGTGTGCCGCTTTAAAAAGTGATTTGCATAAATCACTCGAATGTCTTACAGAATTTGTAAATGCACCGGCTCCGCTGGGGACCGTGGTGGGATCTGCTGGGGCTCGGGATGCTGCTGGGAAGCAGCCCCAAAGCAGGTCTGGGGCCGGTGGCCGTGCCTGGTGCCCACACGCTGTCCCCAAGTTGTTTTTCCAGAGCCAGATGGACCCATGCGGTTTGTTTATTAACTGTCAAAAGCTCCAGGAAATGTCTGGGTATCAGTAATTCCCGCGCCCGGTCTCTCCAGCTGTGTTGGAGA